GACCCCAGTCACGCAGCGCGGGGCATCACACCTGCCCCAGCCACAGGGAAGGCAGGGGGACCGCGGCCGCCAACCTCCTGCTGCTTCAAAGGGTGTTAATAGATGCTCCAAAAATACCTGGCGCAGGCCATAGCCCTGCTACAGAGGAAGGCAACCCCTCTCCTCCAGTTTGTACCAGTCTGAGCATGGGGTCAAATGCCTTCCTGACCCCCATTTTGGCATCAGTGAGATGCCCCAGCGAGGGCCCTCGGGGTTCAAGTCCCAGAGCAGCACTGGCACAGCCCGGGTCGGACTGGAGGAGGAAGATGCTCCAGGGTCCGTGTCTGCAGAGGGGTATGTGAGCGAGGGAACCGGCTCTTCCAGCATGCACGCACACAGCGAGGGGCATCCCCTGCTTCGCACCCCTGCCTCTCCCACCGGCACAGACACCACGAAGCAAATCCGGGAACGGAGGATGCCAGCCGTGTAAAACCCACCCCCTTGTTCCAGCAGAGCAAGGGAAGGCATCCAGGGGCAGCGTGACCTCGCGGCAGCGGCTGGCTTCGGGTGGAAGAGGTTCCTCCATAAAACCCCCGGAGGGGAGGAAAGCGGGGGCAGGAGGGGCTGAAAGGGCCTGGCCCCAGCCCCCTCCGCATCCACATTGCTGAGCTCTCCTGGGTCTCATCAGGAGCAAAGCTCTGTGGACCTGACCAGGCCTGGCTAAATCCACCGGGAAGGCACGCTCGCCTGGCTGTATCGGGGTCTTCCTCCCCCAGCCGTGGACGTGTCCGGGTGCAATCCTCCCGGCGACCCTCGGGCCCCTCTGCGTGGACTCCACGCTGCGCTGGGGATATCAAAAGCTCGGGAACGCAAGGCCTTTCCTCCTCTCCCTGCATCCTTTCGATTTATTCATCCAGCCGGAGAGGACCGAGCACTAGCGACCACAGCTCCTATTTTGGACTAAATGGGGCATTGATCACCTCTCCCCACTGGCCGCGGCGTGGGGGGACTCTTAAAAGGGGCCTGCAATGGGAAGTACATGCAGAGGCTTTTATTTCTGCTTCTCCAGGAGACAGGCGGAAACGTCCTGGGGCCATTCCCATCGTCCCGTCCAGAGGGATGGGAGGAGCGGGGGGGGATGCTGGACTCGCACGGGCCGCGAGAGAAAAGCAAGCGAGCAGACGGGAAAGCTTGCAAAGAACATTTTTTCCAACTATTTAGTTGGCCTAATAAAAAAAAATATCACATCTACCCAAAGAACCTGGCCAGTGGATGGGAAGGAGCTCATGCATCCTTCACCCCGGGAACGAGCCTTTTGCTACCCTGGGCTTTGCAAGGCCTATTTAACAGCAAGGGCTTGGAGAAAGGATCTCTGTCCGAGTGGCAGCCACGCGTCCCCCCAGCCCTGCTGCTCGGTTGGGCCTGCTCCATCCTCCATCCTCGGACTAAACCGTCTTGGTGACGGGGGGCAGGAGGGGGCACGTGGAGCTTTGCCCGTGAGAGAGAGAAAAGGGAGCAGAAAGCAGAGCAGCACATCGGGCAGGGGCAGAGCAGCAGATCAGGCAGAAGAACCCAGGCAGGGAGGAGCAGCAAGCAGACAGGCAGACCAGCAGGGAGCAGAAAGCCATAGCCATATCCATCCGCCTCTCCACTGGGCCGAAGCCCGCTGGACCACGCTGCCACCGGTTATGCCCGCGGCGACCGAGCTGAGCTCTGCGCGGGGCCCGAGACGAGGGGTGCAGAGGGTTTGCGGGCCAAAGGCGGTGCAGGGCCTGGCCAGGAGAGAGGGCGTCCTTCTGGCTGCGCCGGGCTGGCACACGTCAGAGCCAGCGATGCTGCCACGTTTCCACGCCGCTTCTCGGGGGAGACGAGGCCACGCCATGCCAGGCACTGTACAAACCACAGCTCGCAACCCCAGCGGCGACAGTGGGACGAGCTCCGTG